GATCTACTTGTAGATCTCTTTTGCTGATCTGTTTGTTTTTTTATTTAAAGTTTCTCTCCAACTCATAATAGTTTTTGATGCACATGCAAAAATGGATAAAAATCATTATTCCGGGAAAAGAACTTCTATATAGAGTCGATTGATAATTTGGGTCATGATGACTCATTCAGGGAATATAACTTCTATATAGAGTTGGTTGATAATTTGGGTCATAATAACTGATTTATAAATCTTATTGTCCTTAATTTTTTTAATTTTTTCTACTGGTTCTCTCTGTCTTTTATTATTTGCGCAAAAGCTGCAAAAATGGCAAAACTTCATCTTTCAAGGGCAATTATTCCTTAAGGTCAAGGAACAGTGAATGGGCTATGTCACAGATTTAGGTAAAATTTTGCATACAGTTTTAGCTTGTTGAACTTTAACTAAAAATCGAAAAAATAATACATTTATCTCTTTTATTGTCTGAAATACTACTGATTGAATTCTTTCAAATTTAAGTGGACATTTGTAAAGAAAGGACATAAAATCGGGGAAAAACGTTCTTAAAATTGTCTTTAAATCATCAAACTTCAATTTCAAGCACATATATTTTTCTTAAAAAATTTATACGTTGATGATATATAAATTTCCATTTTAATGACATAAAATAATCATATGGTCACCGACTTCATTGTTTGTCTAATAATGAATCTGTTACCTAGTTGGTAGTGAAAAACGTAAAAAAATAACGGTTTACGGCCTGCTGCTACGCGATGACGTTACGATTATTTATAGAATAACTAATCGAAGAATTCAAATAGAGAAAAATATTCAACGAGTGACCGAACAACACATTAATTCACGAATGCGCGTAGCGCATGAGTTAATTATCAGTGTTGTTTGGTCACGAGTTGAATATTTTTCGATATTTGAATTCTTTGATTAGTTATTCTTTTTATTACATTGGCAAATGGCTTTTTTTAATGAAATTAATGTAGAAAATGTAAGGAACTATATCTTTTTTCTACGCATTCACAATTTGTTTTGATCCAACGTTATCGACGTCTTGACAACGCCTATTGTTGTATGACGTCAGAGAGTGAAATAACCACGTTTATTTCACATGTGAAATTATCGGTTTTTATTTGACTGGGAAATCAATGTAATTCAATGCTACCAATGATATAATTCGATTTCGACGTTTTGTGGTATTTTTTCACATAGAACACCACTTTGAATGATGTATACCGTAAAAACGAAGTCGGTGACTATATCATTGTTTTACATTATCAAAACGGAAATTGATCAACAACATATAGTTTTTTTTTAAGAAAATCTATGTATTAGAAATTAGAGGTTTAATGATTTTAAGATAAATTTAAGAAGGTTTTTCGCCGATTTTATGTGCTTTCTATACAAATGTTCACCTATTTTGAAAGATTTCAACCAGTAATATTTCAGATGATAAAAGAGATAAATGCATTATTTTTCCGATTTTCATTTTTAGTTCAACGAGCCAAAGTTGTATGCAAAATTTTACCAAAATCTGTGACATAGCCCATTTACTGTAACTTCCTTAAAGGAGTAAGTTGACAGTTTCGGCTGTGTTTACTTATTTGTAAATCTTATTGTGCTAAACTTCTTTTCTTATTACATTTATCTCTATCTAAAATGGTTTCTGCACAAAATGAAAAGACGGATAAAAACAAACTTTCAAGAGCAATAATTCCTATAAGCGGTCAATTGACAATTTCGGCAATGTTGACTTATTTGTAGATCTTACTTTGCTGAACACTTTTTCTTTTAAAATTTTTTCTATAACAGTTTGTGCAAAAAACGTAAAATTAGGTTGTCAAGGTCAATAACTCCTGTAAGGGGTAAATTGACGATTCATCCATGTCGACTTATTTGTTGGTCATATTTTGTTGAACATTTTTACTATTGAAAGATTCTCTCTATCAACTAGAGTTTCAAAAAAAAAATTGCAACAAAGGAAAAACATCATTATTTAAAATCAATAACTCCTATAAAGGGTCATTTGATGATTTTGCCAAGTAAACTTAATTGTAGATCTTATTGTTCTGGTCATTCTCACTGTTGAAATTTCTCTCTATCTGTTATAGTTCTCAAGATAGTAGGAAAAATACAAAATTTGCAAAATATTGACATTTCAGAGACAATCACGCCAAAATGTGTTGTTCGATTTTTCTGAAAACTCTACAGACGACAGACCTTCAACTTGACCATTTTTAACCATGTCAGATTTCCACTTAATGATTTAGCTTTTAAGATATAAGCCAAAAACTGAGTTTTAACACTATGTTATATGTGTAGCAACATCGGCCATGGTTGATGATGTTTCAAATTCCTGGATGAACAACATACCCTAAGGAAAATCCAGGTAATGTTTGGTAACAATTTGCCCAGTAGTTTCAGAGATATTTTAAATTTTAAAACGACGACGAAGGACGCCAAGTAATGGAAAAAGCCCACATGGCCCATTAGGTTAGGTGAGCTAAAAAAAACATTACTTACCATTCTCTTATACCAACAAACTGTTGTGCAAGGTACGTTTAGTCTAACCACCATTCTAAAGTTAGGTGTATGTTGTATAGGCGAGATTTTCTTTTTTCTTAGAACCGTATAATTTGTGGTAATTATGTTTATCATCGTGATAGGTTTCATAAAGGAAACATCCGGAGCATACGTCAGTCATAAAATTGTTTTTATCCGTGTTTGTTTGTTGTGTTGTTTTAATTTGTTTTTGTGTTTTTTTTTTTTTTTTTGTGTTTGTTTTTGGAGGGGGCTTTTTTTAAAAGGGTCAAATGTACCTACATCCATTATGTAAATGTGTTCTTTAGTTTACATCGCCGACTCTTTAAGTGTTCAATCAGTATATTGACGGTCAAAGAATACAATTCATTTCTCAGATGGAATTGTAAACATGTTAACAATTTCCAAAGTCGTCTAATCGGATAACGTTTTTTTTTTAATTTTGCTTTAAAACTTGGTCATATTCATTATGACAGTGTTGTTATTGAGACAGATTGCGTTTTGCAGTTTTCCACTCAGTTTATTTTGCCTAAAAGGCGTGTAATCTTTGTTTTTAATTCGATCTCAAATATTTGGTATTTTGTTTATGTTAATTATTATCTGCATTTTTTTTCTATCATTTACGAATGTCTGTCCATCCTCAGTCACAAACACATTCATTACTATATAGTTTTCTAGTGTATGATATGCATGATAATTTACAACCCTTCATAAATATGAAAATGAAATCTTTATTTGCAAGTTGTTTTTAAGAGGGTTTTAAGTTTCACGTTTTCTCATTCTTATAACTCGTTTATTGTTATGTTGTACAGGCCTTCATTTAAGCAAAAAGCTTTACCTATACAGAGTGTGTAAAAGTACATATTTCCGTTGACGTTGTGCACACAAACTAACAGCGACTTTTAAAAACTAGTTATTCGCAGAAATAAATAGAAAACGAAACAAAAACATACTTATTTAGTTTTGATATGCTTATATTTATTTAGTTCATTGCTACAAAATAGATCAAAACAAAATCATATGAGTTCAAGATATTTTGACTATAAAATGGTTAGCTTTCATACTCATTCATTCATACTATAATAATACACAAATTTGGAGGATGTTAAGACGAATCGTCCCTTTTGCTCCGATACGATTTCGAAGCTAAAATAGTCTGGTGTGTTACTGAAAAGTCTAAAAAGGGTTTCAAATCCCTTAAAGTTAGAACAAGGATACATAATGAAAATAACACTTAAATTTCGTGCATCTGAAGCGATTTTCTGTATTAACCTTCATCGTAAACGCTCAAATCGTAACATTTTAAAGCAAGGGGTTTTGTGAAGAAACGTTATGGGGGACTATATGACCAATAAGGAACTAAATAATAGCCAAATTCAACCAAGGTCATTATTGCCGAGGGGTTGGAACTTTACTTTCTTAATAATTTCTTAATAATATATATTTATCAACGGAGAATTTTAGAAAAGTATTTTATAAAAGAGTCAGATACAGTATTATGGTTTTCGATTATAATTCATCGTCAACAGAAACAGAGACAATTGTCATATTTATATAGTCTCTGATAGAATATAGTGTTACCTGTCACGACTATATTTGTAATAGGTTGTTGAATTTTCTTTTTTGGTTATTTGTTGATGTGTAGTCCACTCAAATCCGACAGCTACCAAATGAGCTACGGTGAAAATATAATAATATGTTCTTCTTGTATTTTAATCTTGTATGGTTTTGGTGTCATGAAATAGAAGTTCCTTCATAATATAATTTCCAAATGGAATACATTTTCTGTACTCTTAGGCCCGAGAACACAGTTATTTCGTTGTGCATTTCTTTTAGACAATAAAGTCAAATTAAAAAAATCGCACCTGCTCTATCTCAAAAAGAATTTTACAGTGTAGTGTACTACTATTGGGACAAATAATATCAAAATTATAGAAAAGTCTACCAGCTCTAACTCAAAATATTGACAATTCTATGTTAAGGGGGTCTAAAATTCAGTTTGACAGCTTCAGGCATACTAGTTTTTGACCTTTTTTAACTGGACCAAATCACTACTTTACATAAAGATTCAGCACCCAAAATTTTTTTAACATGTAATTTCATCCCCTTTCTTAATATTTCATGCATAAAATATAAAGAAATGAATTTGGAAAGTGTATGAAAAAAATTTGCAAGTTATACACTGTCCACACTAGGGAATATATTTGTAAGACAACGAAAATCTAAGGACGATAACTGTGTCCTCGGACCATATAAGTTCCACTGGAAAAATATAACATAATTTGTTCCTTACAGAATAAAGGGTATATAATATATGATCCAACAGGAACAGATATTATGGCATTGTTTATAACAAAGTTTTCAGGGGAACTTCTGTTAGACGGAACAAATATACGTTGACAGTGGTGTCATAGTGGTGTTAACATCATTGATACAGCAACACGAGACAGCAACACAACAACATAACGTAACCAAAACATTAATTGTATTTATTTCATAAAGAAAAAAATCTAAATTGTATCAACAAGTATATTATTATAATAATGGTCTTTGAAAAATCAGTGACTGTCTATATTATTTTGAACAATTTATCATTTCACAACACTAAGAATAGAAATACAAACGAATTTCATAGCAAAATCTTAATTAGTATGTACCATAATGGTATAAATTAATGTTCAATTCACTTGCAGTTATAAAATAATGTATTTCAAATATAATACATGTATATGCTTTTAAATGTAAACTGAATCCTTTATGTAATATGATTAGAATTCCTTCTGCAGTTTATTAAGTAAAGAGAAGCTATATATGTAAGAGAAATTAAATGTAATACAACTACCATGTTGAAAATAATGGAACTGAAATATTGCATGTATTTATTATTGCGATTGGTGATCATTAGCAGGATAAAAATGCAGGACTAGTTGGTGCAGTTTCAGGAAATACAATGAAGTCAAAATTTGAAATTAAGCTTTTAATAACGAATGTAGTACTAATTCATCACTTTTTGGCAATAATAAAAACATCGCAAATGATTCTGAATTTACAGTTTGCAAAGTAATCCCCGTGCATGTAAAACATAGGGGTTATGATAAGATTACAAATTATGCATACCCCCGCTATTAGAAGTGGGTGATAATGATTCAAGCTTCCAAAACATGACACAAGTTTACATGATAATGCTGTTTTATCATAAGTAAGAGTACATGAATTTCTGCATCAATGAAAACCGTGTTTAATGTTATTATCATGAAGCTAGAAAACCTGCATGTGGAATTGATTTCGCTGTGAACATGTCAAAAGTAAATAATATTAAAACTGATTTTTATTCAGTTGTACAATTGTCATGGTTGAGGGTCCGGATGGGGTCTGCATGTATGTTTTCCTAATTTTTTTAGCCTTTTTTACTATTCTTTTTTTTCTGTTTTTATTTATTCTTAAATTTTTTGTCCTTTATTCTATATTCTGTAAACCTTATCCAGACCCTCATGAATCAACATATTATGCGATTTAATATTGATTTTTATTAACAAACAACCAATGAGTATATGTTTCTATCACAGACTGTTCATCAAACATATTTGACATGAGTTCTCTACGGATTTCTAATCCAGGCCTCCATTATATCTGGCTGTGCTGCTGACATTACAACCGTATATGTAGTTTTGCTAAAAGTATAAAACATTTTTTTTAAAAAGCAGTCTTTATACAATTTAAGTCTTCTTTACTCAGCAAAGTCTATGAAGGAATGTGGTAAAATTAATGGCAAATAAAATGTCTTTGTTATCAAATCATGGCTTTGTTTTTTGTGAAACTTGTTGTATGCTATTTAAAACTGATATGCCAAAAATTGCCATATATTGTCAATATTATTGATTCATATAAAAATAAATAAAAATTAGTGTGATAGTTTATATGTGTTAGCCCTGTAAGCATGTGATTCAATGATGAGTTGAAGAGTGTATAAAAATATGTTTAATCTTTTTTTACTATTTACTTATTCATAACAGGTGGTGTTGACATCACGTTGAAAAGTGATTTCTTTGATATACTTTTCTGACCCATGGAATTCATTGCTTTTATTGCAGGATCCCTGAAACAAAAATTAAAATCGATAGCTGAACTTAAATAATGTAACAAAACCATAGGATCATATAGATTTCTTTTAAACATAATTTAATTTTACCACAATATTACTACTGACTGTAATCTAAACTTTGATGATCTGATTCACTTTCATGCAGAAATGGCGGATAAAATATCTTTAAAAAAGTTGATACTCTGACTGAGAGAATCGACTTTGAGTGGTATTTCTATACCCCTTTCTCAAATAAATATAATATAAATATGAAATCAACTTTCTTATTATATATTTTTCTGGCAAGTAAGCTTATAAGAAAACTTGCTTGAAACTATAAAAGATATATTTTGATAAGACTAAGTTTGAGTTTGAGTTATTTCCCTTATCCCCATGTTGGACCTAGGTGTAACTGGTTGATCTTTGTATTTGACTAACCAAATTGAAACATGTAGTACAGGCAAGTGTGAGAAGAAATTCTAACTAGATTCTGGTGATGAATCATGCAAGGCTTAAAGAAATATTTTGGAAAACTTTTTGTTAATAAGTCTAAAGGTCAGCATAAAATGTTGAACTTGGCTGAATTATGAAGGAATGTGTGCACTTTGACCGCCAACATGGTAACAAAAGGGAAACAATTCTTGCTCAAATTTGTTTCTGTCAAACAAACATATCACATACCTTCTGTCATCACCTGCTGGAGGTGGTGCCCAGTGGTCATAATTTGTTTCAACTTCATACCATCTGAATAAGCAAAAGGTGAAAGTACAAACAGTGAATACGTTTTAAACTGAAATGGTACTTAGGATCTGGACCTATAATATGATTCTGAACAAGAATTTATGAGGTGCAGTCACTCATTCAGTTTTCATATATTTTCAATGCGGTAAATTCAATATCGTTCAAACACTAGTTTTCTGTCAATCCCATTATATCTGTCAGTCTTTCTTTTGTTTTCTCTTTTTTTTTGGGGGGTTGGGGTCTTCAGCAAAAGTAAGTCACCCGTGTTAAACATAAAATACTCATATATCTGAAAAGTGATAAACGGAGTAAAATCTGCGGCCCCTGTCCGGAATCATGTTCCCGAGCGAGGAGTGATCGTATGAGCGGAATAAAATGACTTGATTATTCGTGTAAGAAAAAATATATAAACAGATCACTATGAAAACTATAAAATTCACGTGCACTTAGGGTGGATGGATTATAAATCAAGAACACCTTAAAATTTCAACAACAAGACATAGCATTTAGATAAAAAAAAACTATTAACTAAAATATGTGAATCAATGGATTGTCAACAATTTTATCATATACTGTTATGCCAATTAATCATTTATTAACATGGTTTGGTAAAACAAACGTGACATACACAGTACGGTGATTTTATGGAGTTTGTTTGCTCTTAAAAAGAAATGTCAGTGTTTATATTTAATGTTAAATTTAACTATAATTATACAGATATACAAATCAAAAGCCTGGTATATCTTGCATGAGTATTTTTTATACTCTTTAGGAACATTGTTTGTCAAAATAGCTGTTTCATTATATTTATCCAAACAAATGTTGTTAGCCATTCCAAAGTTCATGTCTTTGGAACTAAGTAGCACAATCGAGGTAAAACGAATCTTTTTTGTTTTTGTTGCATTCATTTCACATTTCTGAATAAACCTTCATCAGGAATCATCAGACACAAACTTGAAGCAAACAAAAAGGATAAATATATGGGGTTACTATAAATAAATAGATCATAAAAAGAATTATATACTAGTAGCCAAAACCATATAAGTTTAACATTGCCTTAGGCAGTTGCAATCCAGTCATTAAAAAGTCATTATGACACTTTTTAAGTTCACAAACCTTCCTGATTTGGCATCCAGTTTCCATATATCTATTGGACCAACTCTCCCTTTAGTTATGACTGCCCCTTCTCCTACGCGAACGCCTCCCATAATCGTGTAAAACGAAGCAGCTGTTGTTGTGTAGGCAACTTTTTCAAGTGCGGATGTGAAATTTTCAGACATTGCTAATGTCTACAAAAATAGAAATCTAAGTAGTTGGAAAACGATAAAAATATATACGGTCTTGACTTTCATATATAATGTTGCCTCACTTTTCCATCAATATAAATTATTGAACTTTATACATTTTGGGATTGCCCAAACAATCAAGTTTTATTCAGAATATCTAGATGATTCCGTCTTTTCCTTTGTTGGTTCTTTGTCTCATTTGCATATACGTCTCATCTTACTTTGGTCATTTTGCAATATCAATAAATAGCTAACTTTGGCCCAGAATCAGGAAATGGAATTCTTAGAATTTTGGAGCTTTTAGGGTTATCAATTATGAACAAGGAAGTAAACTACTTACATCTCTCAGGAGAAAACTGACAGGGCTGGCATTTCTGTCTAAAATGGCGATTAAAATATTCATCCACCATGCTCCCTGGTCTGAAAATTGAAATTGACAATAATAACTTAGTACTCTTGTATAGTATAAAAATAACACTTTATATATTTGGTGAGTTCGAACCCATTTTCTGAATTTAACTTCATTGAGAACGCTTATACCAAAAAAAAAATGCCAATGATGTGTAAGTACTTGATTATGTGTATGACCAAAAGATTCGAAACCAAGCACATTGAATTTGTTTTAAAAAATCACAGGAGAAGACGATATGCAAGCTGTGTAATCGAAGTGAAACATTGACTTAAACATGAATCGGTTATAAAATATCAATGTAAACATAAGTGCGTAGTTTCGTTAACATAGTAGAAAAATGCAAACTGCAGTGATCAAAAAGGTATTTTGCTCTAACGGATGAGCAATTCCTCCTCCACTAGTCACTGGTGTTGCTCAAGGTTATTTAAATATGGTGCTAAGATGCAATCGGTATTGTCATAATAACGTTAAAAAAATCTACTGCACCAGATGCACATTTCGAAAATTGATCTCACTCTTCCATGATGCTAGAGGTCAAAATATTTGCAAATCAAACTAATACAAACATTGAAGGGCTGATGGGCTGGTGATACAGTTAGACACTTATGTATCCCGTCATACTTTGAACGACAAAATTGTTTTATTAATAATATTACTTTTACTGTTAATAGATATAAGAAGATGTGGTATGAGTGCCAATGAGACAACTCTCCATCCAAGTCAAAATTTATAAAAGTAAACCATTATAGGTCAAAGTACGGTCTTCAACACGGAGCCTTGGCTCACATCGAACAGCAAGCTATAAAGGGCCCCAAAAATGACTAGTGCAAAACCATTCAAACGGGAAAACCAACGGTCTAATCTATATAAAAAACGAGAAACACTTATGAACCACATCAACAAACGACAACTACTGAACATCAGATTCCTGACTTAGGACAGGTGTAAACAATTGCAGCGGGTTTAAACGTTTTAATGGTACCAAACCTTCACCCTTTTTCCGAAACAATAGTGTTTTTTAAGTCTGTTTTTTGTGATATACATTTGACGTGTCTCTGTACTTATGTATCCCGTCATACTTTGAACCACAAAATTATTTTATTTATTAATATTACTTTTACTGTTAAGTCTGTTTTTTGTGATAACCATTTTACGTGACTCTGTACTTATGTATCCCGTCATACTTTTAACGACAAAATTATTTTATGTCTACCTGTGCGAATTTCAAACGCGCGATTTTACGCCAGTACTTAAAACCTTCCATCCTTTATGGGTGGATTTTACATAGATAAATAAAACCGTATAAATAAAAAAGCAAAATGAGGATGTTAAATTTGATGTATGCCTTTTTGTGCTTCTTCGTTACATTTGTTTGTTTTTATAGTGATTAAGATGATAACACAATGTTGACTGATGTACCCCTATTTTTGACATTTTTACCTATTGTGTCTGTTTGTTTTGTTCACGCATCGTTGACAATATAATGGAATTTGATGCGACTGTTATACAAGTGAGAGGTTTAGCTAGCTATAAAACCAGGTTCAATTCACCATTTTCTACATAAGAAAATGCCTGTACCAAGTCAGGAATATGACAGTTGTTATCCATTCGTTTGATGTGTTTGGGCTTTTGATTTTGCCATTTGATTAGGGACTTTCCTTTTTGAATTTTCCTCGAAGTTCAGTATTTTTGTGATTTTACTTTACACTTACAGTTCAGCAGCAGAAACGAGGAAATAAGAAACTTATCCGTACATGCTAAATTATAAGACAGATATTCCATAACGGTCAACCAAATATTTATTGCTTCCGTAAAACGATGTCATTCAGAACCGTTCGATCGCTTCCTTTTAAGCAGCAACCTTTTTATTATGGAAATCATGTTAAGAAATGCAAATCCTGAAATATTGTATCATCTGGGAAATATATGCTATGAGGTGTCCTTTATTTCATGTTCCATTGGACAGATTCATTCAACATATTTGAATTTTATGTAAGAAAACATCATACATATAACTGAGAGGATAGCGTCTTTCCATTCTTCTTGAAAAGTCCATTTGTGTAGGTTGCCTCATACGAAAATGGGACCAAATCGAATAGAAGATGAGAACATTTGGTTCCCATAGGAATACCAATTTTCTGTTAAAATACACGTTCTCCAAAAATAACAAATATATGTTGTCAATAAAAAAAGAACAGAATCTTAATCATTTCACTTTTTAAAAAGCCGAAGATTTTGAAAGCCGAAGATTTTGAAAAGCCGAAGATTTTGAAAAGCCGAAGATTTTGAAAGCCGAAGATTTTGAAAAGCCGAAGATTTTGAAAAGCCGAAGATTTTGAAAAGCCGAAGATTTTGAAAAGCCGAAGATTTTAGAATTGATAATAATCGGCGGGATTCTGAAAGCCGAAGATTTATTTGTATCCATGTATTTTTAAAGGAAAAATAATAATAATCGGGGGGTTCACTGTGGCTTTCCATACTGTGGCTTTCCATACTTTCAGATAAAACTTTTGTTTGAATCAGAGTGTGCATGTTTTTATACAAAATAAAAAAATAAAAATAGCACTTTATAAATTTCATGCGTCCGAAGCGTTTTTTTTTTTATTTACCTTTACCAGGAACACTAACTGAAGGCGCCGAATATTTGAAAGCCAATGATGAATAAGAAGTATGATTCGTCTATTCCTAAAACAAGACATTTCTATCTACATTGGCGATTTTTTATGAAACAAAGTTTGACTAATTCTTTCATCTTATCTTTACACTTTTCCCGATTTATCTTTTATTTCAGGTTTAAAATGATGAATATTTTTGTAACGCCGAGTAAATAAATCAAACGGTTGTATACTTTTGTAAGACATAAGGGACTTTGATTTGTATGTACTTTAATAGATTTTGGAATTTGTTTAGAATCCACATCTGATAATTATGTCAGTTCCTATAAATCTTTGGTTGTAATGGTACATTTTATGCACCGTACAATATTATCTCTATGTGTCAGATTTAACCAACAGGTAACCAGAGTGCTGTAAGATAATCGTTATGAATCATATTCCTCTATCAGTATTAACAAATAAATCTAAAGTTCTCTTGAAAAATCATGTTCACCTCTTTCGTCCATTGTCATAGTAAATGCATTTGGTCTTTGGCCAGTTACAAGCCCAACATAGCCAGCGTAGGTAATCCCTGTATAGGCTGTCTGAAATTCAAAATGGAAAATGTCATCCTAATAACAAAAATACATGAAAAGGGACAGGACAAACAAACAAGTAAGGAGAACAGCATCATTAAAATAATACCACACAACAAATGTAATCAAGTGCTCCCCGTCACCAATTAATTAAGGAGCCTAAAGGTTTAAAAAAAAATGGGACGCATCATCTATATTACATGCATTACATTCTAGTAATATTTGGTTAAGTGTGATATTTTACATCTTTATCCGTTTCAATACCTATGTGGTGATCAATATGTCGAATTTGCTCGTACGTTTTCTGGTTTCAAAAGGAGGATAACATCTTTATATCGTATCAATTACCTTAATTATACATCCGTTGCACCAATTATCGTGATCCAATCTCAGACGTCCTTGAGACTGTTTTAATTGACGTCAGGATAGTTTTGTGTTTGTAGGTTTTTTTTATAGTGCTAATGTTTTTTTCATTTACTTTGATCCTGCGTGTGTTTTTTCATTATTACTTTGTACTTCGATCCTAAATATGTTGTTCGATAACTTCGTCCTGCAGATATATTTTTGATTTTTTTCGATATCGCAGATGTGTTTCTGAATTTCACCAATTATAACAGATTAATCAATCAAACTAGAAATGATAACAAAATCATTAACATGATCAACGGGTCAACTAATCTTTCCATATAATGCATACCTTTCCTCCTTTCTGGTAGTCTACTCTAATCGAAATATTTCTCAGTATCTCAGTGAAACTGTAGTCTAGGTTTCTGGCATGCCATATTGTACCATTAGCATCCTGCATGACTATACTAGTACAAAACCTGACCATAAAATATAATCAATATTATTCGGATCGGAAATTCTGTCATCCCACCAAGACATAAAAACAAATCATAAGCCCAGTATTAAACTACGCCATGAGTGTATGGAATTGTTCCAAAATTATATGCAACTTCATGAAAATCTATTTTATATATTGTTTTGATAAATCTACAGCTTTCAGTATCTAGCTGTAGTTCAACTTATCTGGAACACTTATTTACTGTTTCCAAATATACCTCTACATCATTCACGTAAGAGAAAATTTTAGAAAATCACAAATCCGTCCTTCTCTCATTTGGTGTTTACATAAAAAAGGACGATGGAAATCTCCCGTCTACATACTGGATACCTACACTTCACAAAATACTTATAAAGAAAGATATGTAGTCGAGTTGTCAAGATGTTTGACTAAGCATCTCTGTTAAGTTCTCACCGCCATTCTTTCTACAGTAAATGATGACCTTCAGAAATATTGTGGTGATGTATATTCAACCAGCGTTGTCTAAAAATGTAGATTCTTAAAAATTCTAAAGACTTAAATACAATTTTTACAATTTGCAGTAACATCGAAACTTAAGATTTTTTTGTACGCTTTACGCTACTTTACCAAATGTTCCATTGTCGACTATATCGTCTCATTAAATAGAGCTTTTCCTAAAATTAACTTTGGAATCGTAGATACAAATTCCTTGTTTTAAGCCATGAAAAATCTTACTGTGTGTGAAGAACCACAATAATTTCAAAAACAAATACACCCAAGATATCTTCAATAAACAACATTTCAGTGAGTGCTAACATCTCATATATCCCAGTGAACTGGAGACGTACGGATTTTGGTGAACCATAACTGATATTGATGACTTCAAACTAGAATATACGACAAACATGACGAGTTTAACTATCAAATTGTCAACTTCTCTCAACAACTCTTATGAGTTTGAATGTCCCTTTTGTATCTTTCGCCTCTCTTTCTCATTCTCGGCATGTTAATGTTAATGCCGAAATCGACTTAAGTGTCAATCAGCCTAAGAATCAGGCAGTGGTGATAATATGACAAACAAAAACCCACTCAAGTTGACATAAATTTATGTTCAAAATGTATAATGGTGCACGAATATAACATTCGTTTTCTTTTCCAGTTCTGATAATTCGAGATATAATTTGGTTGAAATGCACTAGAAATTAACAAATAAGGGGAGCTAACTCCGCAATTTGGTATCATTCTTACCAAAAGTTATCTAAAGATTTCTCGAATTACCAGGCACGCAGAAATGAAAGATCTACCATTTCTAACTCATGATGAGGGTAACTTCAAAAGAGTATGGTTAGGTCGGTGGGTTTTTTTCGGCCATGCTTTGATTTTTTTCAAAATTGTCTGATTCTTACAAAGACTGGCACTTAACATAAGGTTTGCAGTCACCATCACGAATTGGTTAACTGGTACTGTGTTTTAACTCACTGGTTTGGCAGTCTTAGGTCATAAGATACCAGAAGAGTCGTTTGATCTGTAATTTTATCAATTGTGTCCTATTTCCTATTGTGATATTTTCAGTGAGTGTGAATTCGCATGGCGGGTGATGCATGCATAGCAGCTAGAAAATGCTTATACTGTTGACGCATCCGGTCTATATGAAGCTCACTTTGGAGTTCATGCGATTCCCAGATTTTGTGTTTTACAATGATTTGTATCTTCTTAATGAATTTATGAGATTTGAACATTAGTAAAATACTGTTGCCTTAATCCAAACGTCTTATCATATTTCAATTTAAACATTTGTTCACTGCTGATGAACCACCTGAAATTTTCAACTGTTATGCATCATAGGAATGTAGGGTTTAATTAATAATTCCAAAGCAACTTGCTCGTCCGAAGTGCAAGTTAAGATTACCGTTCAGAGCATAAAAGGCCCTTATGTATTCCTTCATTGTCGCTATTGATTCGTTCAAAAACATACAGAACGACTTACGCAGAAATATCATACAACAAATTGCACGTTACCACATCCCCAAGGCTCATGTTCAGTGTTTTGGCGATACCTGGAGTAAAAAGAAAACAAAAGTCTACTTATATAATCATAGTAGTTCCAAAATCATACCAGCAATATAAAGAAAATATAAAAACAAAATATAATTAATTAGAAGCATTTTCACGTCAAATAAAGTAAAATAGACATAAATGACACAAGAATAGTTACACTTTATGGTTTGTTATCCAAACCAAGTATACTTTCAAGTTACGCTTATTTTATTTGACTTGTATAGCAGTATTTTTCTTTTAAATGAATACAATTAGTGCAACTGTTAAGCTAAAGTAAATTTAAATCTACTTATGTGTTCAAAATAAGAAGGAATAACTACTTCCACAATTAGTGATACATTCTTTTCCCTATTTTATCATTTTAGAGTGATACCTTAAAATTCATCCGCTAAGCCAGAAAATCATACCTCTCATTTCACCAGCATACGGTTTCGCTAGATATTTGTCGACATCCGCAGCTATTTTCCTGATAAGTGGTAAACTGATGGTTGGATCGGGTAGAAATTGTCTGAAAAAAACATTAAAGCCAGAAGAAATTTCAAGCTTGTACTATTGTCTTTCTCGATTCAGGAAATCAGACACAACCACTCGAAGTGTTTATTTCTTAATTTTATTATGTATTTAACACTAAAATTAAATATGGGTGTAAGGAAATTACAAAGTTTATGAAAGAACTCAACATTCACGAGGTAACAGAGCCAGATGAAATTCCACTTACGTGTTTGCAAGCAACAAGACGCCACTTCTTATGTACATGTATGCCTCACGATTGCCTGTTATGCAACCAATCAGATTCGGCATCTCTACAAGAAGACTAGTCATCATGTTTCCTTAATTTTGGACACACATTAGGGGTTGTGAGAGGGGTGTTATCCTGAATTACCGGAAAATTATGAAGCATTTTTCCCGGATCCCGAAAAATTAAGCTTTAATTACCGAGTCCCGATAAGTATAAATCCCGAATTCCCGCAAAAATAAAGGCCCAGTCCCAATGTCCCGAAAAACGTCCTTCCGCCACTCACATTCCATACAATTTTAGAGGGGGTCATACCCAGGAACATATATATTGATATACTGTTCCCAGGTCATACCTAAAGAAGATTTGATGAAACTAAAGTATGTAATAAATTTGTTTATAAAATTTTATCCAATTATTGTTTCATGAGTTTACCAAAACGTATCCAAAACTCTTAGATGCGCGGCGGATACGCCGGGGTAACGATGAAACATCTTAACCAAAAATACCAAAATAACACTTGGTTTGATACAGAGAACCTAGGAAAATGCAAACCATCTATGAATCCATGACATGTAAGACTGTAGTAACTTCAAATGAATGATACTAAGCCTTATCACCACGATGGTCTTGTGGGAGCACGCTCAATCATCTCGAGTGCTGTAGGTCGATTCTCCGTTCGGGTAATTTAACCACACTATTTCGTTTTGCTGCTCCCCCCTACCCCAAGCACCTGGAATCTATACATAAAGCTAGCAAATAATAGTCGGCTCGACCTTAGAGCAGGATGGTTTTCCTTTGGACTATTACCTTGCGAGTTATCGCGTTAAAATCCTCCTCGGTGTGTCGTCTAGTACAAAGTAGGGTATATTCATAATTCATTATCATTTTATCGTCATGAATATCATGACATGTAATATCATACGCCTTCGTCTATAAGAGTAAGCCAACACAAGCAGCTCCACATCAACTCTCTATATAGTGTGCAGAGAAAAGTCACTATGGAACGTGTGTAAAGCAGAATATTATCCTATGATATATTGCCCCACCCCCACCCCTCCCCTAGACAATATTTCATGATTTATGTATCATGAAATATTGTCCCCATCTATGAAAAAGTGTCCAAAGAAGGATAAATTTCCATATAAAGTTTTGTCTATATATAAACAATATTTCATAGATGAATAGTATTAAATTTTGTCTTGTTAAAGGGAGGTTATCCAAGGTTATAATTTGTGTATTTTGAGACAATATTTCATAGACGGATTGTCATGATATTTTGTCTCATGAAAGGGAGGTTATCAACATACATGTATATTATTTTGGATAATGATATTATTAAAATGTTTTATTTTGTTCATCATGAAAAATATTTTAAAGATTCCAGACACTCACAATTTCATGCAGAGGAAGACATAATTTGATTAAGGTTCATGTGGACATTTTGGCTAATATGGGTTGTATTTACACAACAAAATTTACTCGGAGTGCAGACAAACCTGTGCATCTGAAAATTGTTTAGACATGCATGTAGCATGTCCTAGATATATATAAAATTCAAAAGCATTTTTTTGTTTCAGAAAATTAAAAAATTAACTGGATTTTGCTGTCCACTTTTTTTCATTCCTGCAGAAGGTGCCAAAATAAACAAAGTTAGGAAAGTGTTTTGAGAACTTCCCCTTGTGCAATACTTAAGGTAAACTGTATTGATTGGCATGGACAATAGAGGACAATAGATGTCTGACAACAATAGATTTATAAACTGTGTAACTGAGTGGACCGTATCAAATGCAACTCAGGTGTTTATTTCATCATCTTCTGAAGGACTAAGAAAACATGGACAGCAAAATCCAGTTAAATTTTTAATTTTCTGAAACATAAAATGCATTTGAATTTTATATATCTGGGGCATGATATGCCTTAAAATGTTTCCAGATGCACAGGTGTGTCTGCACTCAGAGTGAATTTTGCGGTGTAAACAAAGTAGTCAAAGGGACTACATGAACCTTAAGAAATATTTTCACGAACAGCAGTTTACACTGTCAGAAATATTGTCATGGACAGCATTTCATAGTGAAATATTTTCCAGAAGGAGGTGACAAAATTTCATGGACAAGGACACTATTTCATAATAAATATTTTATTGGACAAACAGTATTTCATAGGGGACATTAATTTATGTTACACGTGCACTTTGTCATAAAAGACCTTGAAAAATAACTTGCATATTTTCCGTAAAAACGTTACAGTATCAAATTAAATTACACCAACATACATACATGATTTTCAATAAATTTTTTGGTCAAAATGGGGCAAAAGTGACATCCTCCTAATAACTGATATTTAAACATTTTAAAATGAAATAAGAAGAAAGTATAAGAGCTGAAACCGGACAAATTTATTAACGGATCAGTAAGACTTACTTCATTATAGCGTAAATATCTGGTACAAGTTGTTTGTATTTCAGAGCCACCTCTGTCCATCTTTGCTCTTCAGGTAGATCAAGATTAACAACAAACGCAGGAGGATTGACAGGGTCGCCAGAAAATCCATTAATGCATGTAACTGACAACAAAATCAAGAAAGCAGAAAACATTGTTATGGAGGTTGCCATGTTTTTATCATGTGACATGTCAGGATATGTCATATGATTTTAATCGTACAATAAATTTTCACGTTTAAGTATGTGATATTATAGTACCTTTGAATAAAACAGAAAAATTATTGCAGAGTGATAAAGAATCACGAATCAAATGAGAACAGACAACATTATGGCCAAAAGGGAAAAGACGAAAAGACAAATAATGGTTCTTAACTATTGCACAATACAATACAATCAGTATGATAGTTATGTGAAAATATTAATAAAAGTAGTTATATATATTCTATAAAGCAAGGATTTGCATAGTGAGCTGACCCTCACTATACAAATCCTTGTATAAAGGTTTTTGTTATGATTTGTTTGCCTGTATTTTGGGTCCTGTGATTGGGTTAAACTGTGATCAAGCAGATGACAAAAAAAAATATATTCTGAATCCAGATTTTCCCCATACCTTATAGTGTTCAATTTTGAAAAAAAAATTTGATTGATAGCGTCGTTAAACTAAAAAAAATTCTGACTCCCACATAAAAACCATAACCCAGGCCCCCTTGAAGTTCAATGGTTGCTCCCTTATCTCTGAAAACCCCTCTTTACCTTAATATAACAAGGTATATATGAGCTGAGTTATGTTTTTTCCTCCAAATATATGTATGGTCAGGATTTCAGCTAAGTTTAAATATAAGGGGCCTGATGGGTTATTTTCGTTCTTCGTGATCGGCGCATTTTCGCTATCGTGATCCGTTTTTCTACAGATTTTTTTTTTTATATTTACGTGATCCGTGATCATGGAAATTTATTTTCTGTGAATCGTGATTGACAAAAAAATCAACTCATGAATCGTGATGAGACCCCCCCCCCCCCCCCCCATCAGGCCCCTCAAATATATATATTTTGTTTTTTTAATCCCAGCTGCTCGTGTGTACACATGTAGTGCATTACACTGAAGTGAAAAACCGGCCATATTTCAACTAGACTCATTTATTATATATGTCTCTTTTTTAAAACACCTTTTATGTTATTATCTTTAATTTTCAACACACTCTAATCATTTAATCTGACCTGGAACTTCGATCGCATATCAGACAACATACGGTATGATTATGGGTTACACTAATGTCCTGACAATGTCCTGACAATGTCCTGACAAAGTCCTGACGGATATGAAAATGCTAATTACGTTTTCATTATTTAAAGGATTTACTTTAAATTTGGAACCAAGCAAGATGACAACATTAATTTATTAAATAAAAGAAAAAAAATTTAAAAAAATATTTTTAAGAGTTAGAAAACTTGACCTGACCAACTTCGACTTTGAAATCACTAATGTCCTGACCGATATGAAACGGCTTAATACTTTTTTATTATTCACAGGATAGACTTCAAATTCGATATCAAGGAAGATTAAAACATTTAATCCAAAAATATAAGAAAAAAATGCAAAAAAAATAATTTTTAGAGTTAGAAAACTTGACCTGACCAACTACGACTTTGCCGCGATTAATGTCCGGACCGATATAAAACTGCTAATTTCCTTTTTTTCTTTGGAAGGATTGACTTCAAATTTGACACCAGACAAGAAAGTAATATTGATTTAATACTTATTTGAAAAGAATTGGGAAAAAAATACTTTAAGGGTAAAAAAACTTGACCTGACCAACATCGACTTTGTCGTGACTAATGTCCTGACCGATATAAAAGTGCTAATACTTGTAACATTGTTGGTATGATTGAGTTCTTATTTGAAACCAAGTCAAATTATAACGTTTTCTTTTTAATACTTTTTATAAAGTAATTGGAAAACAATATTTCATACGAAATAAAAACTTGACCTAACCACCTTCAATTTATTAAACTTAATACACAAACAAAAACGTTTTTAGTTCTTACCTTATATTGTCATTGAATTTATATTTATCTTATCCATAAAACACAACATCCAAAGCAAATAAATTTTGTTAAATGAAAAGATAGGGGAAATATGAGTACAAGTTGCTGACTGTGAGTATTGTTTACCCCTCATCACAACTCTACTTCATTTGATTTGATTAATAAGTGTGACTAATGAAACTAATTATTGAATTATTAAACCCAATTAAATAATTATAAAAGTGAAATGTAATTAGTTACCTACACAAATTGGAATGTTTTCTTTCCTATCTGATTATTTATTTTTTGTTTATCTAGTTATTGAGTGATTATACATGTCATATAAAGGCAGGAAATGAGATTCGTATTGTTTAAAAACGATGTATATACAAGCATATAAATTACAATTATGTTAGAATCACAAAGAAATAAAATAAATTAATACACACAATTTTCACTAACAGAAAAAAAGAAGACATTCAATTAAATTGAGTTCAATAAAGATAAATGGAAAAGAACAATTTAGTCACGATTACCTACCACAATGAAAAACGTTCATATCTAATATATAGGAGTCAACACAACACAATACAATACAATACAATACAATACAATACAATACAATACAATACAATACAATACAATACAATACAATACAATACAATACAATACAATACAATACAATACAATACAATACAATACAATACAATACAATACAATACAATACAATACAATACAATACAATACAATACAATACAATACAATACAATACAATACAATACAATACAATACAATACAATACAATACAATACAATACAATGTTCAAGCATCGCGATGTTCATCACAGTACCAATCTTCTGAAACTCCTGAACATGTCTGATGAACCCACTTAGTACAGCTGATCCGTCCTCTTTTCGCTTCACATCCAATCATGTTCTCAAAAACATCTGGTTTACCACACTGACAACTACACTCAATTCTTCTGGCAAAAATCCTAACAAAGTCTGTACTTGATGTTGTATTTTGAGGAAATGGTGTAAAATGTCCTTTTTCCAAACACGATATTAAATGTGGTCGCATGTATTTCTCAATAAACTTCGTACGTCTTTGAGTGTTGAGTTTTTCTTTATGACAATATTCCACCATGTTGGCAATAGCATAAACACCACAGTCATATCCATTTGTTTGTTGTTGAACATCAGGTAATTTAACAAGCAAGTTCTTTTTTCCATGAGAATAAATAGCTGATAACTGAATTTCTGTCGATGGTGTTAATCTGAAATCTTTACTGTAACTATCTAACACATAAACGGCACTATCCTTTTTAGTCTGAAGAGATGTAATCCAATGAGATTTTCCGGTATGGTGAATTTGCACACATGGTGTATCTTGACTGGTGAATGTCCCGAAATTTTCTGTCCAACACTGTTTATCTTCATCAAAAAGAGGCGCTAAACCTGTTGATTGAAATCCAGATATAATTGGAAATTGTTTCGCTAGCATATTCATGCACACATTTATAATTTCGGAACATAGCCATGAATTATTCTCCAACATAAGTTTGTGTTCTGTATTTAAACTTGCAACCCAAGGTGTATGGTTTATACTTTTAGCGTCTGTTGTTAATTTACGCTTTTTCATCGGAAGTCGGCAGGTACTCTTCGGTGACACGGACGGCGATATAAGCTGTATTTCATCCTCATTTATAACTGTAAGTAACTAATGTTCACTTTTAAAAAGCAATCACCAAAGCTTGTAGAAGCCCATAAATACCAATGTATTGTTTATCATAAATTATCAGTCTTAATAATAGCTGGTCACAGTTCACGTTCATAATTAATTAATTGGATTAACAAGTAGGTGATTAATCTAATCATAACAAGCCCCTAATCAGATAAACAATTAGAGCAATAACAGAAAGTTAACATGCATAAACAATACTCACATTCAGCAACTGGTTCTAATATTTCTCTTTCGTTTCATTTCAACAGTATCTTTCTGCGTTCAATGTTGTAATATCATTGTGATCGGATATTTTCAATTTCAATGATTTAAGGTAAGAGGTTAACATTTTCTTTCAGTTAGAAAATTGATCAGGACAAGTTCGACAATGTCAGGTCAATATATTTTTACCCTTGCAATACTTGTTCACATTTTTTTCTTTTTGTCATTTAAATATTTAATAAAATATTGATATTTATCAAACTTAAAGACATTTATTTAAGAAATATACATAGTCTTTCTATTTTTTAAACGAACATGTCTTTTTTTGGTGAATAGCCTATGTTGGTCAGGTCAAGTTTTTTGGTCTTTTGAATATTTGCTTTCTTTTCATTTCTTTTTATTTCTTTGTTAAATGTCGAAATCTTCCTTGCTACTAAATTTGAAGTTAATCCTTCCAAAGATAAAAAAGAAATTAGCAGTTTTATATCGGTCCGGACATTAGTCGCGGCAAAATCGTATTGGTCAGGTCAAGTTTTCTAACTCTAAAAATTATTTTTTTTTCATTTTTTTCTTATATTTTTGGATTAAATGTTTTAATCTTCCTTGATATCGAATTTGAAGTCTATCCTGTGAATAATAAAAAAGTATTTAGCCGTTTCATATCGGTCAGGACATTAGTGATTTCAAAGTCGAAGTTGGTCAGGTCAAGTTTTCTAACTCTTAAAAATATTTTTTTTAATTTTTTTTCTTTTATTTATTAGATTAATGTTGTCATCTTGCTTGGTTCCAAATTTAAAGTAAATCCTTTATATAATGAAAACGTAATTAGCATTTTCATATCCGTCAGGACTTTGTCAGGACATTGTCAGGACATTGTCAGGACATTAGTGTAACCCTATGATTATATTATACATGGGATAGCAAATTTATTTCTCGATTTTTATATTGGAGGCGTTTTTACCCTACACTTCCGGATAAATAAGAAAATGAAGAAAAACACGAACACGAGGTTTTTGTTTGGTGGACAAGATCGTCCAAGAAAAGACAATTTTAAAGGGCGAAGCGGCGAGAAAAGAAAAAAGCAATTATTGAGCATAAAAGAACGTAAAGTTGACGCACTTGATAAAGAAATTGCTGATATTCGCAGCAGATATTCACAGGTACGGTAACCTCTCACAGATTTTTACTTTTAGTTTTACAGTTTAAGAAA